AAAGGGGTTGGAACTAGGTGATCTTTAAGGTTCCTCCCAACCCAAACCATTCTATGACTTTTCACTTTCTCAGCAATTAGCAGGGGAAAAAAAATGTATTTATAAAAACGGCAACTTTGGTTTTGGATATGAAAAAATAACTCATAACTGAAAATTACAGCACAATCTCTGCTGTCAGCTACCTACAACTGCATCTTTCGTAGCTTCTGTGCAAATGAGGAGAAATTTAAATGTCACAGAGAGGAAAAAAATCCCCAAGAACCTAATATCCATTAACTAGTTTCCTACTGACAGTCATTTTACATGATAGTCTCCACATACTTCCACACCACAGATCTGAAATTCAAAAGGTATTTCGAGACTTAGGCTTTCACATTTCAATGTTCTGGGCAAAACACAGTTCTGACTCAGAATGAGGTTTGTACCTGTATAAGGATCTACACCATGTGCTTTAAGGGGAAAAGGTTTTAGGGAGCAAAGCAGTGCAATTCTTTCCCACCGTTCAAAAATAATCAGTGAATTTATAATTGTAGTCTAGAATTCCTGCACTATAAATCACTGGCATCATTTCAGTTCCATTGTGACATGGTATAGGTTCAAAAAAGTTATTACAAAACACTAATTCTTCCTTCCTGAAATTATTAACAATTTTCCTCAGTCAGTAAGAGAGAAACAAAACTTGTTTTTAACTCTGCCCCATCATTGTTTATATCCTACAGACATCTACCATGATAAGCAATCCCAACCCTGGCAGATCTTACAGCCTACTGCCTTTAAAAGATTTTTATTCCACAAGAAGCTACTTCATGTGTAGAATACAGACAACAGAGCAAACAAGGTACTTCTGGAGTTCTACCTCTGCACTTCAGCTAAGAACAGGGAAAAATACACAGGAATCTAATGCTTAGTGTTATGCTACTAGTTTAAGAAAGTGCATCAGTAGCTACTAGAATAAAATATAAACAATCTTTGTAAATTGAAGATGTCTTATTATTAAAACTGTTCATATTTTAAAATACAGATGGAGTCATCACTATTTATCACTATAAATTAATTTGCTCATTAGTAAACTTCCATGTGTTTCAGAAGAAAACCCCCAAAATATAAAAAACCCCAAATTCAATGAAGTTGGTTTCACTTTCACTTTCAAGACAGTGCTAACTCATCTGTATTACAAATTCAGAAAAAGGTTTTTTTTAAATCATCTCATAATATACTATAATTTAAAAATCCTCTATTTTAAACAGTCTTGGAATTTATAAAAGCATGGTTTAGATATCTCAAGTGATACCATAAATTCGTCCTATTAATATTCTTTAAACCACTTTTTCTGTTAAAGCCTTACAAGATGTCATTAAATACATTTCACAACGTAACCGACTGATGTGGAATTATGGAGCCTCTGGAACATCCCTTGGGGGTTCCCCTGCACGGATCCACTAAAGGATTGCTACCTTAATGCTAAGAAAATTAATAAAGGAACACTAGGCCTGACTGTACCAAATCAATTGGTTAAACCAATTTTGCGCTATGACAACAAAAGTCCAAGTTCATGCTAAAACCAGTGAAATCTGCCGGCTGCCACCAGAAGGCACAGTGACACAACCCCTTGCAGAAACATGTGCTCTACACTGGACACAAAGGATGGGCTGGGAACCACCCAGGTGAAGGACCATCTGTTCCAGTCCCCTGCACAGTTGGGTTGTGTTTGTGCAATGTGAACTGCACCCCAAGCCAACTCTTGAGGCACAGCTCCCTATTTCCTGCCTCACACACCACAGACACTCAGCAGCCACAGCCTCTCAGGCAACAACTGCTGTCCTGCACAAAAGGTCCAGGAGTAACTCAAGACATTCCCATATTGAACTCCAATAATAGTATTCACTTTTGGGAACTACTTGACTTCAGAAGTAAAACAATATGTTTTGCCAGTTACAATGGACCTAAGTCTGAAATTATCTTCTGAAAAGCCTCATAAAGCAGAGAACCATGTTTTGAAGGTGACAATAAACTACCCCAAAAATGAAAGTAAATTAATAATAAAAGAACCACTAACATCAACTTATCACATCATAAATAAAACACTGTATCTACACCCTCAAATATACATACAACAGTTCAAACAGTCCAAATGAATCAGCAGATTCCTGAAAATAGGCATGGAGGGAAACATCCAAACACTGGCAATAACACCTATATTTTTATGTACAATGCAATATTATAATGCTACAATAATATTCCTAAAGAATCAGTTACAAGGACAGTCATTTTGAGAAAGTTAATTTGCAACCCAGGACAACAACAAAAATAAGTGATACTTAAAAATCACTTTTTTTGGCAAAAGATTTGGGTTGATTGATCCACAATTCAGACCATCACAACACACATGAACACAGGATGTAAACAGTGGAAAACTGACCTGAAGCTCTGGTTTTGTAATCCAAAAATGCCATAAAAGTTAGTGATGAGAAGGCACACTAGATTCAGTACCTCTCTTAACTGCCACAGTGCCACAGGAACCCAGTTATATTTTTATCCTTGAGCCTACACTGACAGAACTCACTGACATCAGCCCCATCTGAGGCCTAAGGAAACGCTACAGAGGCACTTGCGGTGTCAGGCAGACGTCAACACGTGTGAGCTGTGACCAACACAGTTACTGTTTGCAGCTGCAGTTACACCAGCAAAGCCACACTTTTAATGGTCAGTTTTGCTGATCGTTGTTTTGGTGTCGTTGTACTCACATCGTTGTATTCCCATCGCACTCCACTGGCACCTTTAGCACTGACTGGCTCCTCCGCTGCTTCGTGCTGGGATGGGTTTGCTGATGTAGCTGTACCAGTGCAACAACAATTTGGGAAACTTCCCCAAATTGGGCAGAGTTTTTCTCAGCATTAAGCAGCCTGCATACAGATGCCACCACTATTTCCAAGTTGTGCTTTATTCTTCCAAAGAAACCACAGTAGGCAGCACTAAGTATCCAGCTAACCACCAAAAGCACGGCAGAGGTGCAGCACTGGAACTATTCACTGTATCTTTCTAAAATTATACCCCATTTGGGAGGGGGCAAGTGTGCTTGTCAAAGACCTGGGGTTTTTTAGCATGTGCACAAAAAGCTGAACGGAAACATTTTACAATTCAGCCTTCTGTAAAAACGAAGCCTATAGTTATGAGAAACATGATCACAGGGAGCCTACCATGTGAAATAACGAGAAACTCATGGAACCCACATAAACACTTCCCACACCAATCTCTGCTGTAGGATGTTTTAATAAAATTGCAGGTAAACTGCATTTTAGAAGTAATTTTTAGTATTGTTTAAATACATTATTTCACTAGTACTGTACACAGTTTCTGAAAATAAGCAGCTATTTCAAGGGCACGATGTCCTTACAGCCGTGATGCCCAAAGCTGTGTGTCACTGATTTGCATCGATGCAGCACAAGCACTTCAGTGAACCAATGTAAAATCATGAAGTCTGTGGATCAGTCAGTATCAATCTGATCATGGATTACAATCTCTGTATTGCAGATAAAGGTTATGCATCAATTTCAGTTTCCAATCCTTTACCTTTTAATATTTGCCCTTGGAAATTTTTACCTCTATAACATTAATCAATTTGTCCCATACAATTAAAATAGGCTTAATTCTGATGAATTTTCATAATCAATAAATGTTATGACAGTTGTTTACTTCTGTAGAAGGAAACGCATTCAGGAAGAAACACTATGAGCAAGTCAAAAGTTGTAAAGTACCTAAAGTGTACAGCTGAGGACCAGGGTGTGTTCTGCCAATTCCTACTTCAGCTGGGGAATATTTATGGCATTTTGACTCATGTAGTGCCACTGTATGTAGCCTAATGAACAGAAATGTCATGAGATAAAGAGAAGATGAATCAGAGAAAAAGCTGCACAATTTAAATACAATTTGTTACACATTCTCTTTGTGCTAAGACAATATACCAAAACGCAAACTTCACTGTGATTTTAATATCGCATAATGTAGTATTTTAGCCCGCTTCCTAACTGTACTGCCAAAAGTTTCCAAGAACCAAACTCGCTTATAGTGCACAATAACGAAAATTTAAGACTTATTTTTACTCCATTAAAACTCAAAAATACTAACGAAAACACTCATTACCTTCCCACGCAGTCATCTCCAATGACAACATGGGGATCTTTATTTTCGCACTGAATTAAAGTGACCCCTAGATATCAGGTCACTTCTAAAAACACTTGGTCTTTTCTCCCGTTCCTCGGTCGTGTGCCCTTCAGTGCTTGACTAAACATCTGACTACCTTGTCCAATCAGCAAGATCTAAATAAACCATCCCGCTCCTTTTCCGTCAATAAATACCAGGAGATCCAATAGTCTGGTACAGCTGACAATTAACTGCTACTCACCCTGCACACGACAAACTGACTGAACGTAAACTTGACGGAGACCAACCCGGCAGCCCTGGCCCACGTGGATGAACCTCCCCCAGCAATTGCAGTGACTCTCGGGTTGTGTGAGCTCTCGGGTTGTGTGCGGCTGTGTGTGTGTGTGTGTGTGTGTGTCCCACATCGCTCCAGCCAGGCGGGTGAGCGCCAGACATTCCCTCTGGAGGGAAATGACAGGAGTCCTTGCCCCCGGAAGACCTGGAGACCGGCTGCTCGGGAGGTGCCACCGGCCACGACACCCCAGGATCGATCGCCCTGCTGGGGGGGACGAGCCAAGGAGACATTTCCTCGCTTCCCACAATTCTCACCACACTATAAGCCTGCGATGGTGTGTGCGTGTGGCCTGATTATACCAAAAAAAAAAAAATAGTAACACAGAGCCGGGGAGATCGGAGATAAACACATCATCAGAAGGGAAGGGTTTTTTTCCCCCGCTCTATTAAACCTTAGTCATCGCCGCTCCCGTTCCTGAAGGCCCGACGGTAAAAACACCGATAACACAGGGCGGGGGGCGAGGGAACCGACACAGACACAGAGACGGGCGGGCGCCTCTCCTTACCTTCCTACTCGCTCCTCCGAGGGACACCTTGGGCCTTGTTTTGAAATCCCCTTCAAAGCTGAACATGTTTACAGCTTATCCCATGGGGAGCGGGGCCCGGCCGGCCGGCAGGGCCGAGCGGAGGGGCCGCACGAACCCCCCGGGCTGGCAACCCCGCGGCCCGCCCGCCCCCGCGGGGCTGCTCCCCCGTCCCCCGCCTTCCCCCCTTCCCCGCGGCCTTCGTTATCCCGGTCGCCCCCTTCCTGACCGGCGGCGGCGGCTGAGCGTAGTGGGAGGAGGGAGCAGGAGGAGGAGGGAGCGGAGGAGGGGGCACTGGGAGCGCTCCCGCCGGCCGTGCAGAGAAGATGGCGGCCGCCCGCCGGGCGCGCTCCCGACACACGGCCGCGCCCGCCGCCCCGCCCCCGGCCCGCTCGGCCCTCGGCGGGGTCCGGGGTGTCCCGGCTGCGGGTGTTCCACGAAAACTTCCACGTTCCCGCTTTCCACAGGAGCTTTGTGCGGGCGTGCAGGGGCGGTTGGAGCCGGGCTGGGCTGCTGTGCTGCATCCTGCCTGGATGGGCCGTGCTGAGGGCGAGGACTGAGCTGAGAGTCCAGCCCGGCTTTGGCCAGGACTGCCTTCCTCAGAGTCAGTGGGCTGTGGTAACGCACTTATTACCCCCCCAAATTTATATGTATATAGATATAAATATATAATTTATACTTTTCCTAGGGTAAGCATATCACAGAATCACAGAATTAGTTTGGAAAAGACCTCTGAGACCATCGAGTCCAGCCTATGACTGAACACCACCGTATCAACTAGACCATGGCCCTGAGTACCACATCCAGTCTTTCCTTAAACACCTCCAGGGACAGTGACTCCACCACCTCCCTGGGCAGCCCATTCCTATGTCTAATCACCCCATCCACGAAGAAATTCCTCCTGACTTCCAACCTGAACCTCCCCTGGCACAGCTTGAGACTAAGTTCTCTCATCCTGTCACTGGTTGCCTGAGAGAAGAGACCGACCCTCACATGGCTACAACCTCCTTCCAGGTAGTTGTGGAGAGTGATAAGGTCACCCCTGAGCCTTCTCTTCTCCAGGAAGAGAGGGACATATGATAGACTTTGCCTCATTGCAAAGATTTCATGACCAGTGTGCAGACTGAACACTTGAACACACCAGTACAGGCTTTTGTGCTTACATCATCATTATCATTATCATGGCTGGGCTTCGCGAACGAAGATTTGGGAAGGGCTCTACCCACGTTTGTTGCAAGCGCGTTGGTGGCTAAAAAGGCCAATGCAAGATAGGCATGTCTGGTTTTGGAAAAGGCACAGCAGAAGGACTCCTTAGGTGGTGTATTCTGCAAGGCACAATTCTTTCTGCGTTGTCTTTTCTCCTCAAGGGTGATCCTGTGTGCTTTCTCAAAAGCATCCACAGCATTATAGATGGTGTGTCTCCAGGCCTTCTGATTGGAGGCCAGAGTAGACCAGTTATGTTGATCAGTATGGCCAAGGCTGAGATGTTGTTTGAGGGAGTCCTTGTATCTTCTCTTTGGAGCTCCTCTCTTGCGGCAGACAGTGGCAAGGTCACCATAAAGCAAGATCTCAGGAAGGTGGTGGTCCTTCATCCTTGAGACGTGTCCTGCCCAACGCAGCTGTGTTCTCAGCAACATGGCCTCAATACTTGTGACTGCTGCTTGTTCTAGAACAGATGTATTGGTCACATAATCTGACCAGTGGATGTTTAGGATTGTACAGAGGCAGTGTTGATGGAAGCGTTCTAGGAGTTGCAGGTGGTGGCGGTAGATGACCCATGATTCAGATCCGTATAAGAGAGTAGACAGCACTATGGCTCTGTGCTTACACAGACAGGAAAAATACACTCAAGAAAGTGCAAGTGCGCTCTGCACAGGATTGGGGCCTCAACACCTGATGAAAAGTGGAAAGAGAAAAAAGCTGTAAAGTAAAAGCAGCAGATCTGAATAGTGAAACCACACCTGAGGCTTCTTTACATTTCTTGGCATGTTCTCCATTTTTCAGTGCAGTGACTACATCCTTCCAAATCCAGAGGTGATACAGACAACAGCAATAACAACAAAAAGTAGTTATTCAGTCTGCCAAATCCAGCTTTCATTTCCCTCAGTGGAAATTCGATTGAGACCTAACTTGTGAATTCTCACATTGGCGTATCACAACAAACAAATGGCAAGGATCCATGTCAGGAGAGGATGTATGTGCTTTGCAGCTGTTCATACCGAGGCCATAATAGAGTTTAACCAGTGCCAAGATGACTGACAAATAAAATATTTCTTGAGATTTCTTTGGATTTGGATGATTCAGAAGAGTTTAAATTTTAAAATTTCAGACTTTTCATAAGGGAACAAGTGCTTAGCAAGAGTAAACATTAGCCCAGCATTTCCCCAGATAACATAGTCTCAGTATAAGCAAGCCAGGCCTCCTTAAATACTGTTTACGAATGCAGATGGAGTATAGGGTATTGTGAAATACAACATCAAATGTTTGTTCGTAGTTTCAACACACTGCATTGCTGATGAAATACCCCACCACTCTATGTGGCAGTGATAGCAAGCTTTATTCCAAACGTGACAGAATTCTTTTCAATTGGACTTAAGCCTTGATAAACTTTGTAAGTCTCATACAGAAAAGGACTAGTCGAGGTGTCCCTAGCAGTTAATTCGGTCATTTTCATTAGCACAGAAGCAACCTGTTAGGTCATGAGTTTGCCGATTTTTGTCAGTAGCAAAGCCAGTCCCTCCTCAGGTAAGAAGCCAAAGAAACATGAAACTGCAGAAAGTGGGGTTTCTATTAGATGGGTTTTGACTAATACACATTTGACATGTTTCAGCTCTAATTTCAGCAGGACACAAGACCCTCTGCTGATAAAGACCCTGGCTCTTACCCAGCTAATAAACGTCTGACAAGTCCTGGTGATTTCTGGAGTCCCCAGCACAGGAAGGACATTGGCCTGTTGGAGCGAGTTGAGAGGAGGCCACCAAGATGATCAGAGGGATGGAACACTTTTCCTACGAGGAAAGGCTGAGAGAATTGGGATTGTTCAGCCTGGAGAAGACAAGGCTTTGGAGTGACCTAATTGTGACCTTCCAGTACCTGAAGACAGCCTACACGAAAGATGGAAACAAACTTTTTGCAAGGGCATGTAGTGACAGGACAAAGGGGGATGGCTTCACACTAAAAGAGGATGGGTTTAGTTAAGATATTAGGAAGAAATTCTTTATGGTGACTGTGGTGAGGCACTGGCACAGGTTGCCCAGAGAAGTTGTGGATGCCTCATCCCTGGGAATGTTCTAGGCCAGGTTGGATGCAACTCTGAGCAACCTGATCTAGTGGAAGGTATCCCTGCCTATGGCAGGGAGTTGGAACTAGATCTTTAAGGTGCCTTTCAACCCAAGCCATTCTATGATTCTATGATTTGCATGTGCCCCTGGAGGCCACTCGAGGTGTAGTTTTATTAAATAAACACTTATATAACAGAATAAACTGAGTGTTTGTATCTTGAATACAGTGAATTTGTGGAAACACAAAAGAAATTGTAAATATGCTTTATTTTACATATACATATTTTTAGGACAAAAGTCAGAAAACTCAATGTCACTTAGTCAAAAAGTCAGAGCAGAGAATGCTTTGATATCCTCAGGGAACAGCAAGAACAGGGTTGTTCCATGAAGGAAGTTGAGTGGATGCCAAGTATGACCCCAGCACAGGCCATGCCCTCCCAGGTCAGAATGTAATTCCACCAGATCCAGAGACAGAGGGCAGAGCCTGGCAAGGGTTACACAGGGTCCACTGACAGCCCCAGGCAGGGCGAGGGGATGAGTCCAGAGAGGCCAGACAGTGCTACAATGTAGGTGTGCAGTCCATCCAGGGGGCAGGGCTGGAGACAGGTACTCCTGAGCTTAGATGGACCCGTGAGCAGTGGGCTGAGTGAGTGGGGGTCCCAGCTGAAGTTGTTCAGGGCAATTAAATCCTGTTGGTGCATCCAGGGCCCTGACAGACATATAGTCAAGGATCTAGGAATACTGCTCTTGTCTGAATGCCGTGTTAACATCCACTTGCCTCACCTGCTGCAATGAAGTTAGGTCCATGTGCAGTTTCCCACCTTTCTCATCTCCTTATTGCACATTCCACCAGGTTTTTTGCGTTGACGTAATCATGGTTCTTTGTCCTGTAATTGTACCTTTTTTTGCCTCTACAGACTGATGTACACATTGCTCCCAGGTACAGATGGTCTGCAGTAGTCCCATTGATTATCAGATGCAATCTCTTAAAAAGATGTTGTTACTCAACATTTTCTTCACTCTGTGAAATTAAGTTTTTAATTAAGTGTGTGCAAATACCATCTTTTCCTTGTAAATGCACATCACAGAAATTAAAACAGCAACACAAAGATAGTCACAGTTGTCAAAAATATGTGTAGAGTGTCATTCAATCCACATTGGAGAGAAACTTCTGTAGAGTCTCACCAGGACCTGCCTCTAGGTACCAAAAGACAGGAAAAATTTGTGCTGCCTATATGGCTGTTGTAAGATCTTTTTCCTTTTTCACTTTGAGTGACTCAGAGCAAAGCCATCTTCTAAAAGTTTCTTGTTGACACTTCTAAATGTCTCTTGTTAAGCAGAAGAAAAAGGAATGAAGATTTGGTGGGTAGCAATAATAACAAGAAAAAATAATTCTTTCTCAACATTGACGAAGGTCTTGAGTTGTGCTGGGTGCTAAGGATAACATAACTGAGATGACTTATGAAGTTTTAAAATTATGGAGCTCCTGGTACCTTAATGTAAGTAGGAGCACACTCTGCCTCTGCCAGGGAGATTTTATAGTTTTTGTGGATATACATTCTACATATTAAAACAAATCAATCACACTTAAATTTTAAAAAGAAAAGACTATTTAAAAGGAAAATAAATATTACTCAGACTATTACACATCCCCTTTGAATGAGCACTATTTTATATCGACAATCTTTTTTTATTCTCAAACTAATCCCCAAACAATTTAACTTCTGATGCATTGTCCTTCTGGCCTCATTCTGTACACACAGTCCTGATTTAGACAGGGTAAGCAATCAAGACTGTATTTGGCAATTGCTCAGTTCTCTAGGGTATGATGGCCAAATTGT